AAGATGCTGACAACACCTCACCATACCAGCAGACAGCAGCTGTGCATTGCTGAAGGATGCCCAGGACCAAACCAGAGACGGTCGGACCTGCATCACCACCATTTGTCCACCAACCAGATCTGTAACACCATGGCTGACATGTACACATAAGGTACTGTTTGACATTGAAATTGGGATTCAAAAGAACTGTTGGCCCAGAAAGGAACTCACTACAGACTGATTCGTTTGCCTCTCAGCATAACCATTATGGCTTGTCTCAGTTTCAGTTCTTATAAAGGAATTCCTTGTATCACATGATCTAATGCATCTAGGGGAAATAATGAACAACATAAATTGATGAACAGAAATAGACCCGGAGACAGAGAAGCAGTGATCAGACAGTCAAACCTCAGAGGGAAGGTAGGGGAGGGTGGGGCCAGGGGAGAGATCAACCAAAGGACTTTTGTGCATGCATATAAGCCTAACCAGTGGTCATGGACAAAGCGGGGGGGGGGGGGGGGAGGCATATGTGGGGCGGGGTTTGGGACGGGAATGGAGAGATGAGGACAATTATGTGATACCATAATCAATAGAGAAATTACAAAACAAACAATGGGGAAAATATCCACAAGTGAGGATTGACAATAACTAAAGATGTAAACAGAAAAAAAAATGTAATAGAATAAAAAGAATAAGAATGAATTGCCACAGATGAAATATAAAATGGTGGCAGAGGCCCTAGCCAGCTTGGCTTAGTGGATGGGATGTCAGCCTGCGGACTGAAGGGTCCCAGGTTTGATTCCGGCCAGGGACACATGCCTGGGTTGTGGACTCAGTCCCCAGTGGGGGTGTGCAGGAGGCAGCCAATCAATGATTCTCTCTCATCATTGATGTTTCTACCTCTCTCTCCTTCTTCTTTCCTTTCTACAAATCAATAAAGAAATGCACATTAAAATAATAATAATAACAACAATAATAAAAGGGTGGCATAGAAAGTGGATGCGGCACAAATATGCTCCCAGGAACAAACTGGTATTACAACTAAAATACAGAACAACTTCCTGAATAATCAACAGAAAACTCCAGCAGAGAACACTGATGCCTGAAGAACAAAAGTCAAGACCACATAGAGGCTTACAGGAGGGGTGGAGGTGCGAAAGGGCTGGCTGGGTGCCCAAGAACAGCAACTGAAGTCCAGGAGAGACATCTCAGCTGTGGGTGGTGCTACTGAGAACGCAGATATAGATATAGATATAGATATAGATATAGATATAGATATAGATATAGATATAGATATAGATATAGATATATAATAGATATAGATATAGGACAGCCATACAGGCTTAATATGGCAATAAATAAGTACATATCAATAATAATCCTAAATGAAAATGCATTAAATGCTTCAAACAAATGGCTTAGGGGTCTGGCTGGCATGGCTTAGTGGTTGAGAATCCACCAATGGACCAGGAGGTCACAGTTCAATTCACAGTCAGGGCACATGCCTGGGTGGTAGGTCAATCCCCAGTAGGGAGTGTGCAGGAGGCAGCCAATCAAGGATTCTATCTCATCATTGATGTTTCTATCTCTCCCTCTCCCTTCCTCTATGAAATCAATCAATATATTTAAAAATAAATGTTTATTTTTTAAAAGTCATGGGGTAGCTGAATGGATCCAAAAACATGACCCTACTATATACTGTCTTCAAGAGACCTTTCTCAAAACAAAAGACACATACAGGATGAGAGGGAAGAAATGGGGAAAAAATTTTTTCATGCAAGTGAAAAAGAATAAAAATCAGCCAGTCAGAGAAATATAAATATCACATGAACTCATTCATTTGTGGAATAGAATGAACAACTTAAACTGATGAACAAAAATAGAGATAGAGCCGAGACTGGTTTGGCTCAGTGGATAGAGCGTCGGCTTGGGGACTGAAAAGTCCTGGGTTCGATTCCGGTCAAGGGCATGTACCTTGGTTGTGGGCACATCCCCAGTGGGGGGTATGCAAGAGGCAGCTGATCGATGACTCTCTCTCATCGATGTTTCTAACTATCTCTCTCCCTTCCTCTTTGTACAAAATCAATAAAATATATATATTTTTTAAAAAGAAATCAACTGACTTGGATGTCTTTTGCAAATTTTGAAAGATATTAAATAGCCTTCTTCAATAGCTTTGGGCACTGGTCTGATTTTGTTGCCCTCAGGGTAATGTGCAGCGCATTTGGGGGATTCTGACCCAGAACGGAGGTTCCATCCCATGCAGTTGGCTGCATCCACCCCTAAGCCGAATTGCTTCTTATGCAGAGAAAAATGCTCCTTCTATGTTCGGTTTTAGCATCTCCCGGCCACCCAACCAGACTTGTGGCAGAGGAGCTCAGAAGGGTACGAGCATGGGCCCCACTCACCTTCCTCGGGTACTTGTACGGGGCGGTCACTGACTTCACGTGCTCCTGCAGCTCCTTGATGAGCTGGTCTGGGTCATGGGACAGAAACTGTGGGGTCAGGACAATGAAGGCCTTCACCACCTGCAATGCAGAACCAGAGCGGGGGCTCAGGGTCAGTGCCACCCAGTGGCCGGGTTTAAAAAGTAGGTGTTTATGCAATGCATGGCAAAACAAGCTGACACCGAGCCTTTGGAAATGGCTCAAATCCAAATACTTCAATTTCTATCCCTTCCCTTGCAAAATCACTTAACCTCAGATTCCTTCTCTGTGACATGCGCAGAGTACAGGTCCATCCCATGGTAGCCTTATGTTCAGATTCCATGAGTTAATACACATAAAACATTCACCTAGCTTAACTTTGTTATTATCCTCAGCTGTTGAAAGCTGTCCATTGTCTTCACTAGCAGAGAGGTGTGGACAAGGAAACAGAAGGCTGTTCAACCTTGAAGCTCTTCAAGGTCAGAGCCAAGCACCCACTGTCTAGTTGAGACAAAGAGAGCTGAAGCAACTTCTACATTTTAGTCTTAAGTAAATCCTTATTGATGGGCTATCATTGGAATTGTCTGCCTAAGGGCTATGGTTGTGTCCCAAAACCTGAATAAAAGGGATCAAAAGGCCAGAGCAAAGCAGAGTCCTTGCTCTTGAGCTGGGCTCCTGCATGGCCCCCTGTGTTTCCAAATTAATATTTCCTATTCTCTTTCATTTGCAGGTGGCTTCCCCCAGAGCCCGAACCCTGAACCTGAACTCTGAACCACATGGGATGTGGGGGGGACACTCACACTCAGCATCATTTATTCTTATCACTATTTTTACCGCTAATGAATATACAGTTCTGTGCCTGGAACCTGTGGGCTTTTAATAATTGTTGGTAACTTATTGAACTTATTGTTTTTATATTTTTTAAGAAGTTGTTGATTCTTTTTAAAAAATATATATGTTTTTATTGATTTCAGAAGGAACAGGTGGGGGAGATATAAACATCAATGATGAGACAGAATCATCACTCTGATGCCTCCTGCAGGCCCCCTACTGGGGATCTAGCCCACAACCTGGTGGTCAGTGCGCCTCACAGCGACTAATTGTTCTACCATTAGGTTGATTTGCACCTTAGCCTTTGGGATTTATGTCTTCATTGAATTGTACAGGCCTTGTACCTAGTAGGTGCTCAATAAATCCAGTGAATGCATTGGAAACAGAGTGCTCAGATTTCCATCCTGGCTCCACCACAGTGTAATCCGAGCAAGTTACTTAACTTCTTTATGCTGCCTCTCTGTCTATTTAAAGGGATAATAAGTAAAAGTCTAACTCATTAGGTAGTTGTGAGGGCTAAATGAGGCAGCACACTAGTTTCTAGTCAGGATTGTCACGGATGATGCCACAGTGCCTCCTGCTGCCCAATCAGTGTAAGTGTGGCACGCATACCCACTGCTTTGGAAAATTCACCCACACACAGATCCTTGATCTCCTGTCCTTCTCCTCACCTGCCCTCGGGTCGGGTCCGGGCTGCTTACCGCAGCTGACTCAGCCACCGCCGGATGCTCTGCCAGGGCGTTCTCCACCTCTGCCGGCCCAATGCGGTACCTGTGGGACCAATGGTTCCTGCTCTGCTTCTGAGCAGATGCCAGGGCTGGAGGAGTGACCCAGGCCCTCCAATCTCATGTTTGGGAGTCAGACTTCCCTGGGCACAGAGGGCAACCTTAACAAGAGCCAGAGGACTGTGAGAAGGCTCTGTAGGGACCAGGATGTGAAGACCTGGGCATTGCAAGCTCAGATCCTCCCAGGGCCTCCCTCACTGCCTCTGGTGGGCGGTGGGGGTTGGAGGCTGTCCTCCTGAGGCTGAGTGTGTGGCACAAGGATCTTCCCAGCAGGACTCTTACTGCACACTTGGGAGCCTCAAACTTTGTCTTAAACCTTTATGGAAATTCTGTCTCACTACATCAGCATCCAATGTAGAAATTCATAAAGTAAAATGAAACTAATTTCTCTGATGCATCCAAGGGAAGTTGTTACATGTGTCACTTTTTCTCCCTACATCACCTAAGTGGTAAAGACAACAGATCAGGAGCCACACTACCTCAGTTCAAATCTGAGCCTCTCCCTGCACTATCTTGGAAACTTTCAGCAACTTAGTTCACTAGTCAGTGACTCAGTGTTCTCATCTGTAAGTTAGGCACAATAATGGCATCTACTGGGTGAACAAAGCACAGAGCAGTGTACTTTCACACAGTAAGTTCTCCATGAGCTTAGCTGGTATTGCTGTTGTTGTTCTGTGACATATGTCCCATTGGAGGAACACAGAGAATAATGACCCCCAACCCATGGGGGGAAATGGGAGCTCAAACAAGATCTTCCTTGCCAATCCTATATCTCCTCTTTAAATTGCACGATGTCTCCTGTGGTTGTTCTTCCAGGCCTTCTTGAACTTTCTTTTGATGTTGGGGGGATGCACAGATACCCCAGGCCGGGGCCCTGTAACGTGGCTGCATTCAGGAACACGTTGCACGTTTCATCCCAATGCATGGAGGAATGGGTAAGCAAGCTAGTGTCTTCCAGGCCCAGGTCAGCCACACCTACCCAGAGGCGTTGATGATGTCATCGTCCCTCCCCAGGAACCAGATGTAGCCCTCTTCGTCAATAGTTGCTTTGTCCCCAGTGTTATAAAAGTCCCCACACTCCACTTTGGCTGTCTTCACTGGGTTATTCTACAAAGAGAACGGCACTCTTGTTGAAGAAAGTGAGATTAGAGATGCTGAGCTGCAACATGGGGCTCAGATCTGGGTTTGAATCCTGCTTCTCACTCCACCAGGCACCTGTGCAACTTTGTAGTCTCTATGAGTCTATTTATTTTACATGCTAACACTCAATGCATGCTAATGGTCAATTAATGTACAAAACACACTGACAATTGATATTAATATAATACAGTGGTTGAACTGATGGAAGGTGATAATAAACTTTTCTATATGAATTTTCTTCCCCAAGTACCATCTCATCTCATCCTCAAAGGAAGCCTGTGGCCCTGGCAAGTGTGGCTCATTTGCTTGAGTGTCATCCCATGTACCAAAAGGTGGCTAGTTCACTTCTTGGTCAGGGCACATGCCCAGGTTGTGGCCTCAATGCCCAGTAGGGGATGTGCAGGAGCCAGCTAATCAATGTTTGATGAAATAATGGCAGAAAACTTCTCTAACCTCGTGGAGGAAAAAGTCACACAAGTTCAGAAAGCACAGGGAACTCCAAATAAGAAGAACCCAAGCAGACCCATGCCCTGACACATCATCATTAAAATGCCAAAAATTAAAGACCAAGAGAGAATCTTAAAGGCAACAAGAGGAAAGCAAACTTACCTACAAAAGAGCTCCCATAACGCTGACACCTGATTTCTCATCAGAAACTCTATAGGCCAGAAGGGACTAGCATGAAGTACTCCAGGTAATGGAAAGCAAGGATCTAAGACCAAGATCACTATATCTAGCAAGACTATCATTCAAATTAGACAGTCAAATAAAGAGCTTCCCAGATAAGATAAAAAGGCCAAAGGAGTACATCACACCAAGCCAGCATTGCAAGAAATGCTATAGGCCCTGCTGTAATGAGAAGGAAAAACAGAGAGAGAAGCATACACATACAAAATTGAAATGGCAATAAATAAGTACCTATCAATAATAACCCTAATGTAGATGAAAGACATGGTCCAATCAAAAGGCATAGGATAGCTGAATAGATACAAAAACATGAGCAACTATATGCTGTCTATAAGAGACCCTCCTCAGAACAAAAGACATGCAAAGGATGAGAGTGAAGAAATGGGGGGAAAATTTTTTCCATGCAAATTGAAAGGAAAAAAAAGGCTTGATTAGCAATACTCATACTGACAAAATAGACTTCAAAGTGAAGGACATCACAAAAGGCAACAAAGATCACTTTAGTACATAATACAAAAGGGATGGATCCAGTAAGAGGATAGAACCCTAGTAAACATATTTACACTCAATATAGGAGCACCTAAATATATCTAAAGAACTGCTAGACTTTAACTGCTAGAGGAGAGATTGACAGCAATACAGTCATAGCAGGGGACTTTACCACCCTGCTGACTTCACTGGATAGATCTTCCAGAAAAAATGTGAAACAGAAACAGTGACTCTGAAGGACACACTGGATCAGATGGATGTAATTGACATTTATAGAACATTTCACCCCAAAGCAGCAGAATATAGTACATTGTTCTCAAGTGCAGGTGGATCATTCACAAAGATAGACCACATGTTAGGACACAAAACAAGTCTCTACAAGTTCAAGAAGACCGAAACCATATCAAGCAAATTCTCATATCACAGTGGAATGAAATTAGAAATCAGTTACAGTCAAAAACACCCCAAAACATTCAAACACATGGAGGCTAAGTAACATGTTATTAAACAAAGAATGGGTTACCAATCACACCAATAAATAAATAAATAAATAAATAAATAAATAAACAAACAAACCTTCGTGGAAACAAATGAAAATGAACAAACAACAACCCAAAATCTTGAGGACACAGCAAAAGCAGTCTGAATGGGAAGTTCATAGCAAGATAGGCCTACCTCAAAACAAGAAAAATTAACAATAAACTATATAACCCTTTAACCTAAAGAACTGGAAAGAAGACAAGAAAAGATTAAAGCAGAAATAAATGACATAAAGACTAAAAGAAAAACACAAAACAATTCATGAAATTAAGAGCTGAATCTTTGAAAAGATAAACAAAATTGATGAATAGGTTAGCCAGCAGTTTTAACTGTTGATTGACAGTATCACATAAGGAGCAGCGGCCCCTCCAGGCCACAGGGATGACAACAGTGACAACAAGAGAGAGCCTCTGATGGCTGTTCTTTTGGAGAAAGGAGATGGAATCTGAGATTCATCTCAGGTGTGCCCACCCTTCCATGCCCATCTTGGAAACTGAGAATTTCCTTAGTGGCCTCTACTACCCTGGGAGGGCTAGGGTTTATCTGGTCAGGAGTCTGAGCAGGTTTCCTTAGAGCCATCACAAGTTTCTGTAATCTCTGGATTTCCCATTAGGCTCTGGGGCTGAAAGACATGGGTTTGAACCTTAGTTCTGCCATACATTTGACACGGGTAAAAACATGACCCCTATGGTCTGCAGGTGGTTTTCTCTGAGAAGTGGGGTAGGGGAGGTCTCAGGAGGCTCAGGACAGTTACTAGGCTTGTGCACATCCTGTTGGTAAATTGAAGGGTAGGATATGAACCCAACCGAAGCCTGCATTCTTTATCAGCCCCCAGGTCCGATGATTCCGAAGCCAGGCTTCTCCACCACATCAGTGCCACGTGGGTCAGGAGAGGAAAGGCTGTGAGCTTTGTGTGAACTAGACCTGGCTTCACTGAATTGGAGCACATAACGGGAGATGGGAGGAGTCTCAGGATGCAGAGTTGTGTGGCTGGGTGCTCGGGCCAGGGAGCAGCAGGCGGAGCGCCCTCACCTCATACAACATGAACAGGCCGATGGGCTTGGTGGGCTTCATCCTGATGCCAAGGTTGCCCTCAGTGTTGGGTGGCAGGATGTTGCCTTTGTCGTCGATGATCTGGAGCAAGAGGTCTGTGAGGCCCCCTGCAGGGCTCCCAGCCCTCCTGCCTCCCGCGCACCCCCCTCTCCCAAACTCTGCTTGGCTTATGCATGTGACACCAGTGAGGACCATGGGGAAATGCCTGTCAGAAAACAGAATGAAGCTGTCAAGTCTTTGAAATCAGCAAGTCATGGGCGTGTTTGTTTCCTGGTGTGGACATCTCATGTGTCTTCAAGCTAGAAAACAGGGGCCAGGTCAAGCTAAAAGCCCGGAGGGTGGACAGAGCTGCCAGGCACCCCCAGGTCCTGTGCGCCATGGCTGTTGCACAGCCTCGGCTGGCACTGATGCCCACAGTACTGACCCTCCCAGGAACCCAGAGGGGAACTAGGAGAGGAGGAGGGACAACTCGGGCAGGGGGCACCGTGTTCTGCCGCCTGGTGTCACACGGGGTTGATCCCAGCTGAGCCCTCAGTGCTCCCTGGCCACGCCTTTAGGACCAAACCTGGACGTCGAAGGGCGGGATGGCTTTCCCCATGGAACCGGGCTTGACCTGTGACCCCCGGGCAGTACCACAAGTAAATCCCTGTGCACAAAAGGAAGAGAAGATCATCAAAGGCTCCAGGCCGATCACAGAGCAGCAACAATGGTTCACAGCACCTCTGCTCACACACACTACTCATAGAGCCTGTGGGGGAGCTGGGAGCTCTGCATGCTGGGCTCAGGGCATTGACCCAGCTCTTCAGCAGACAGTCACTGCGCCCGACATGTGACATGCACTGGGCCAGTGCCGGCTGCCAGTGCCACGGGGTTCCCAGGTGGAGGACAAGAAAGGAGCAAAGGGCTGAGCTAGGGGATGTGGGAGTGTGGTGGGTGGGGGAGTGCCCACTGCATGCCAGGCCTGTGTCCATTTGACCAACACTTACTCAAGACTGAACCTGACAGGAACCTGCCTCCTCTGCCCTCGGGGCTGCGCTGAAATCACTGAGGCTGTGCCTCTGCCACCACTCCCACCCCCATTTGCCCTCCTGATGAACTACGCCTCCTTCCTGGTTCTCTGAAGCTAACATCTGTCCTAAAGCTAAGCCTTCAGTCACACAGATGAGTTAATGCCCTGGGTCTCCCAGTCAAAGGGGCCGGCCCGCACCCCCTCTCGGGGCCTGCGGGGCGGGAAGCTGCTCAGACCCGCACCAGTGAGCTCACCTGGCTTCTAGGGCAACCAGCCCAGACTCAGGCCCCAGGAGAAGTCCCGGGCGATCCTCCTCTGGTGGCATCTCCCCCGCATTTCTGTTGTAGCCAACAGTTCTTATACTGACGTTTGGGCATATTTCCCTCCACAGATAACCCTTCTACTCTGCACCCCTGACACCTGGCCCACGACCCCCCACATCAGTGCAGACAGCGGGCTGGCCCTGGGGGCTGTGCAGGCTGGGTATCTCTGGGACTTTCATATTCCCTTCCACTCCCCTCACCACCACCCACAGGGTGGCATTCTATTTCCATTTCAGAGACAGGGAAGTTGAGCTTTTTGCAGGCTCCATGGTATGCCTATGGGCTTGACGCTGCCATTGGCGATGCTGAGAGGAACTGAGACCTGAGCTCCTGGCAGAGGAAGGTCTGCTCTCCAAACTGCTGTTCTCACTTCAGGACGTGGCAACGCCCACAGGTGAGTGAGCGGGTTGCAAAGCTTTGAGCAATGAGGCTCCATGCAGCCAGGAGGGAGTATTCTGTGGCTCAAGCAGTCCACACTAAGGGGCGGGGTTATGGGTGTAGCTGGTGCTTATCTTAGTCCAACAGGGAACTGTGAGCCATGCCAGGTCAGGCCTAGAGCCCTCCCATTTCTCAGGCCTGGAAGCAGACCACTTCACTGACTAAAATAAAACATTTTTCTCAAAAACAACACAGTCAGAAAAATTTGTGAATTAGGACCAAGAGAGGCTGCCCTACAGGTCCTGAGAGGGGTGACTCTGTGAGCTGACGGGATGGTGAGAGGCGGGCGAGTGGCATCAGGGGTTGAGGATGCTTCAGGAGAGAGGCAGCCCCTCCAAACACTGAAGCCCCTGAGAGTCCAGACAGCACAGCAGGCTGCACAGCCTGCCCACTGCAGGCTCATGACACCCTTGGGGGTCACACTGTGTGTGTGTGTGTGTGTGTGTGTGTGTGTGTGTGTGTGTGTGTTGTCTATGCTCCCTCCGCCCCTCCTGCTCGTGCCCCACAATCACACGTGTGCTTTGGGGCCCGCTCTTGCCTGGCCCTGTGGCTGCTGCTCGAGGGAGGGAGGGTGACATGGGCAGCACTCGCAGGCAGGGCCTCCGTGAGGCAGGAGGGGCCTCCATTGCCATAGCTCCTCCCAGCTCCCTGATCCCAGGGACATAGCCCTGTCCTCAGATCCCTATGGAAGGTTTTGTCCAATAGCCATCATCACACTGGGGTCTTGACAAGTCGAAAACTGTGTGAATTCTTACTTGCAAACCGATTTGGGTCCAATCAGCCTGGAACTCCAGAGCTGCCCTCTGCTGGCTGTGCACACATTGGGCCTGTGCACACAGTGGGGCCTGTGCACGCGCTCTGGCAGATTCAGCTGCTCTTCTGGGCTGGGTGGCCCCCCTGTGCCCATCCACCTACCGTTTCTGTCTGTCCGTAGATTTGGTGAAGCAGAAGGCCCGTCCGTTCTCTCCACTTCTCTTGCTCCTCGGGCAGCACGGCCTCTCCAGAAGCAGAGCAATGCTCCAGAGTGGGGAACCTGAGGCTTGGGAGAGACAAGGTGTCCACAGAGCTTCAGAACAGACATCTGGCGCCCCTCCCTTCCCCCCTCCTCCACACGTCTCCTGTTACACAGCCAGGAGCGGTGGACAAGGCGGCTGGTTTCATTGGGGGCGTCTTCCTCCCTCATCCGGAGTTTTCTCCAAAGTACGTAAACTTAGCAGAGTCTCCAGTGGAGTCATTAGTGATGCCCTGATTGGATTGTTACTGGGTTTGACCAAGTTCATCATCTGAGGAACGTTGCAAAAAGTGGCTGTCACAGAGCTTTGACATACAGATAGAGGCAGACTCCAAGGGCATGCTGGGATGGAGGCTTCATGAATAAAAGCAAGTTGTATTTCAAAGTTAGCTTCATAAGGGTAGCTGTTCAAGTCCTTGACATTTTAACTCTGTGTCTAAAAGTTATTGGGTCTGATTTTTGAAGAAGCCATTTCCATTTTAGAATCTCTAAAATATGTATAAGTGTGCATTAGGTTCAAAGGCAAGATTGCAGTTTAGCTCAGAATTAATCTACAAATACAAGGAAATACAAAATGAAGTTATAGCAAAGTAACACTACATCCATCAGATTGGTAAAAATTAAAGACTCCGACAGGAACAAATGTTGCCAAAGATGTGGAACAAGGGCACACATAATGATTGGATACTTTGGAAAATAGGGGGTAGGATGCGGTGTCAGTGTGACTCAGCAATTTCTCCTAGAAATACACCACATAGTGAGTGCTGATGTGCACAGGGTGAATGTACAAGAACAGTGCTAGTCATCAATCGCCCTCAAATGAATTAGTGGTAGAAGAGATGGGAAAATATGGACTTTTCATAAAACGGAATATTATATGGCAATAAAAATTAGCTACAACAATATAATGCAACATGGACTCACCTTAGAAATATAATGTTGTAAAAAGAAGCTGCATATTAGAGAATTATATGATTACAAAGCTCAAAACAAGTAAAAGAGACTGATATTTCCTTAGGAGGTAAACTATGGGGGGCGGGGAGGGGCGGAGGAAGAAAAAACACACACAAATGAATGAACACCATAAAAGTCAAGATAATGAGTTCCTTTAGGGGAGTTGGAGAGATCTGAGGAGGTCACTGCGGCTGGCAATGTTCTCTTCTTGTGACTTGAATGAGTGGTTACACATTTGTTTAATTTTCACCAATTTCTTCATTTACAAATTTATATCTTATGCATTTTTCTGTGTTTGTTATTTCACGACTTTAAAAAAGAAAAACACCCACAATGATGCAAGGCTCACTGTTTATTTGAATCTGAGTCCTGCTTAATAAACAAATTTGACTAGCTGATAATTATCGCTACCAACATTTCATACACATACACACACACACACACACACACACACACACACACACACACTAGCTCTCACTGCCCTCAAAGAACCAGTGTTGAAACAGTCAGACCATTACCATCCTTAGCTGGTTATTAAAAGAAATAGAGCCGGGGAGAGGCTGACAATGTTGAGCACAGTCAGCTGGGAAGCAGAGGCTTGTTTGCTTCACCAGGAACTCCAGTTTCACACCCAAGAAATGGCAGCATGGTCTCCCCAAGGGGATTAACACCCGTCTCTCCCTCCTCAGGTTCAGAAATGTGTGTGGGAGGGGACATGGGGTGATCAGGAACTGCCCAGTAAAGTCAAATTGGCACAGGGGAGGGAGAACCAAGATGGTGGCTTAGGTAAGACGACTCCCTAATTTTACAGTTAAAACATAGGTGTAGGCCTATATTCGCTGTATAAAACTACCCCCCACTTCAAAGAAAAGACTTACTTTGCTGTCAAGATCTGCAGGTAATTTTTGTGCAATTTTGGTCTTTTGCCCTCAATTTCCGGTTGACTTTTTTTCATTTCAAAAGTCGTCTTATACGCTGGAAAATATGGTAAGCACCTGAGCTGCTGCCTTGCACAACAATTTCAAAAACAACAACTAAAATCAGAACGGACTTCATCCAAAAACACAGGAAACCTGACAGAGTGGGAAATCTTTAACTAGAAATAAGGAGAGAGGCTCCTGGATCAGATTGGAAGCTGCTGAGGTAGGGAGACGCTCTCGTGTGCAGAGGAAGTGCAGCGAATGCTTGGCTGGCGGGAGGGGAAAGGAAGTCCCCGATTGCACTGAACCCTTTCTGACTGTACTAAACCCCAAACCCGGCCGAAACCCTGTGGTCCCAGGCTCATACGGATGGAGTCTGGACTGTAGAGAAAGGCATCCAGAGACTCAGAGACTGGGGGAGCCGGGAGCCGCAGCGGACAGGGTCTACAGTCGAGTGTGAGTGAGTACGCGCAGAGGTCTAACCACGGAGGTTGCTGCTGCCTTTCCATAGCAGAAGGAATCAGAAGCTTCAGACTACAAAGACTCATCCCAATTCCAGGCAAGCCCCTGGGGCACCCACACTCTTGCACGGGGAATCTGGACAGTCAGACGGAAACTCAGGGGTGAGGCAGAAGGCAGAGGTCAGGTGGAAACTCAGGAGAGTGCACAAGGGCAGGGCTGACTGGAAGCCAAGGCTGTCAGCTCAGCTCTGAGACTCTGCCCCATGCAGGCTGACCACAGAGGCTTCTGCAATTTTGCAAATCTGATCCTATAAGATTGTCTCCAATACAGAAGGTATCCCAGAGTAGACACATGATACCCACATCCAATTGGCCTGAAGGTCAATTCCTCCCAGGGATACCAACAACAATAAAGACATAGCTACAACAGGCTGTACACGCAGTCCACAAAGGGAAGCACCAAGTGTATCTACCTCAGATAACTGAGAAGGCTGACCAACTGGGCCATATATGACACCAAACACACAAAGCCATTTTACCAACTTTGGGAAGCAGCAAAAATGCTGAGACAAGGAAACAGATCTCAAATGAAAGAGATGGAAGAGAACAACAGACTTGATATATAGATAATTCAAAAACACGGTTATAAGGTTTTTCAAGAATTTCCTTGAAAAGGCCAATAAATTTATTGAAACCCAACTAGAAATTAAACATACACTGACTGAAATAAAAATTAGTATACAGAGATCCAACAGCAGACTGGAGGAGAACAAGAATCAAGTCAAAGATTTCGAATACAAAGAGCCAAAGACATTCCTCTGGAGAAGCAAGAAGAAAAGAGAATCCAGCCGGCACCGGTTTGGCTCAGTGGTAGAGCATCGGTCTGCGGACTGAAAGGTCCCGGGTTCTATTCCGGTCAAGGGCATGTACCTTGGTTGCGGGCACATCCCCAGTAGGGGGTGTGCAAGAGGCAGCTGGTCGATGATTCTCTCTCATCGACGTTTCTAGCTCTCTATCCCTCTCTCTTCCTCTCTGTGAAAAATCAATAAAAATATATTAAAAAAAAAAAAAAAAAAAAGAGAATCCAGAAAATTGAAGATAGTGTAAGGAGCCTCTGGGACAACTTCAAGCGTACCAAAATCAGAATTATAGGGGTGTCAGAAGAGGATAGAGTGCAAGATACTGAAAACCTATTTGAAGAAATAATATCAGAAAACTTCCTCCCACCTGGGGAAAGAAATAGACTTACAAGTCCAGGAAGCGTACAGAACCCCAACCAAGAGGAATCCAAAGAGGACCACACCAAGACACATCATAATTAAAATGCCAAGGGCAAAAGACAAAAAGAAGATCTTAAAAGCAGCAAGAGAAAAGCAGTTGGTTACCTATAAGGGAGCACCCATATGGCTATCAGCTGATTTTTCAACAGAAACTATGCAGGCCAGAGGGAGTGGCAAGAAATATTCAAAGTGATGAATAGCGAGAATCTACAACCAAGATTACTGTATCCAGCAAAGATAAAATTCAGAATTAAAGTGCAGATAAAGAGTTTCACAGATAAGAAAAAGTTAAAGGAGTTCATCACCACCAAACCAGTATTATATGAAATGTTGAAAGGTATTTTTTAAGAAGAGGAAGAAGATCAAGCGAATTAAAAATCTGAGGAACAGAATAAACTAGTGAATATAATAGAATCAGGGGCAAAGAAAGGGAGTGGATTGATAATTATCAGGGGGAAAGGGGTGTGTGGGGGTGCAGAAAGAGACTGGATTAAAATCGTACACCTATGGATGAGAACAATGTGGGGGGGGAGGGTAAGAGCAGAAGGGGGGGAACGGGAACCAGGTGGAAGGGAACTCTGAGGGGGGAAAAGGAGAAACAATTGTAATAATCTGAGTAATAAGATTTATTAAAAAAAAAAAAAAAAAACTGGCACAGGGGAAGGTGTTGGATGACAGAATCTGTCGGTCTAACCTGGGATAAGGTAGTTGACTTAGGGTGGACCCAGTGCATGTCCCTGAAATCTTGAGAAGTTAACTGGTTGTTTTGAAAAAGCTCCTTGTTGAGACCTAGGGAGTAATGTTGGCTCTCTCTCTTGCCTGGGACCCCACTGGCCCAATTTGTTCCTGTCCCTCCTGCCCAGGAGCAAGGACCATGCAGGACTACAGGCACCTGGGCCTGGGGAAGACTTCCAGGCCCAAACGATCATAAAGCAGAAATTCTGGGCATTGGCCTTTGCATTGGCCCCAGAAAATGAGATTGGACTTTTTCCAGGGCAGGGCCAAGAGAGATGGGCCTTGGGAAGCCCAGAGGAGAACTCTATTGATGTTATGCAACAATTAAACCACATTGAACACATCACAATCTTCCGTGCATGGATCTTTGGGACTCTTTCCTCCCAACCCTGTGCAAGAGCCTGTTTCCCACCGACAACAAGACCACGGTGAAACAGACTCCTTAAATTCCTACCCTAAGATTGTGATTACAAGCCACTTCTACATACCTGCTAAAATTCTGCTGCAGAATCATTCGAAATACAGAAGGCACAGCAAAGCACTGAGTGATAGGGTATTTAAAGAATGTCTGCAAGGTCAACAGAGAAAAGTTTTATATTTATAGTTAAGATGAAAAATACTGTGCAATTATTACCATTCTTTTGTTGCTTGTGGTGGTAACTCTATTTTTTAAATTATTACCATTTTAATTCTGGTCTCCCTTCTGGGAGAGCACATTTATCCATGATGTACGCATTACAACAGCAATTGCTGCCAGTTCCTGAGTGTTTTCAGGTGCAGGTCTGAGGGCTAAGCACTTTACACACTTTGCCTGTATCATCTCAATATTCCCAACAACCTTATGAGGTTATAATTATTAAAACTCCCATCTGACAGGTGAGGAGACTGAGCTCAGAGAGGTGAGGTTACCTGTAACAAATGTTAAAGGTGTGAAAGGGAACCGGAACCATCGTGTTCCAAGGGCTCTGTTTTTAAACACTTCAATCAGTTCACACACACACCAGCCACCTGGCCCTGGAGGAGCCAGGAGACCTGAGATTGTGCTGGTTGCTTTAATTTCTCAAAATGTGTATTCTGGGTGGTTCACTGACTGATTCAGCGCCTCACATTTTGAGACACGCAGAGCCCAGGTTATACCACCCTAATGGGCTGCTTTGTTCCATACACTATTCTCTGCAGGGGCCAGCTTTTGAGCCTGAAATGTGAGTTTCTCCTGGAGTTTGTTGACACTGAGAGATTAGTGCTCTTACCTCTACAATGACCTTAGGGTCAAATTGGGGCAGATGATGGATGAAGACTGTAGACCCTGCTGTCCATGGTTCAAACAGGGTCCCCATGAGAGCCGCAATCCAGCCTGGATCTGACATGCACCAGAAGACATCAGAGGCCTTCAGCTTCAGTAATTTCCTGCTAACTCCAAAATACAGTGGCCTCAGCTTTGTAAGCACAGTTGCATTCCCGGTCAAGGCACATGCCTGGGTTGTGGGCACAATCTCTAATCATTGATGTTTCTATCCCTTCTCCCTTCCTCTCTGAAACCAATTAAATGTAATATTAAAAAGTGTAACTTTGAGTTATGCACTGTCTCTCATTTTAAAATAATAATAATCAACGAGGGGAAATACCCTTGGGTGAGGATTAACAAAAATAAAAAATAAAAAAATAACAGAAACAGCTGGTAAATGGAAAATTGAATCCAGTGGCTCCTCAGCTAGGACTGAAGCGTCTCCCCACCTACTGTTACTGCTTCTGAGGGACCTCTGTGTACAGAACTCCTTGAGAAAAACTCAACTCTCTCCTTAGCAAGCTATGGCTTTGAAGAGCTCTTCTGTTAGTAGGGAGGGACCTGGAGAGCCATTTACACCCTCTCTTCCCATCTCTTAGGGCTGTGGCTCACTCACAGGAAATTACAAGCTAGAGACCTCTGTTCTGAGCTGCAGACCCAACTGCCCAATGGGAATCTCTTCTGGGATATCTCTCTGGCATCTCAAACCCAGAGCGTCCTAATCTCTCCTGCCTCCCTGACTGATTCTTCTCCAGTGCTCTCTGTGTTTCAGTGAATGTCATTACTGTCCAAGCTCAAAACCTGGGACTCAACCTTGACTCTCCAGCCCCTCCCACCTCCCACATCTAGCCAGCACACCCTCCCATTCTATCTTCTAAAATATGACTTCTTAACTTCTTCCCTGTCCCTAGCACCTTGGACAAAAAGCCACCATCTTACACCTAAATTATTCTAAGACCCTCTAACAGGTCTTTCTAAATCTATTATTTCCCCCAGCCATTCTCCACCCTGCAGCCACAGTGATCTTTTCAAAATACACATTTGATTAGGTGTCTCCCTTATTAATACCACCCATTGTTTTTCCAACCTCTACACCAAAGTCCCCACGACCCTCTGTGCTCTGGGCCCCATTCATTTTCTCAGCTGCTCCCATTTGTGCCTCCCGGACACCCTGAGAAGCTGCTCTCAAATCCCTATAATGCTGCTTTTAATATATTTGTACCTTTGCTTGGGTTGTTCTCACTACACAGCCATCCCCCTGCTTCTTCCCACCCTAATTCCTTCAGTATTTTGCTTATAAAGTGTTATCATTAGAACAGATACTCAGTGCCCACAAGACACCTTCTCTACTTCCTGGTCTGCTTAATAAGGTACAAAATATATTATTAGTTGGGGAGGAGGAAGTAGGAGGGAGAAGATTGGTTTAATATTGATTAAATGATTAACCCACGGCTATTTCTTCAGCCTCTACAATTATTTATTTTAGGTTAATGGCAGTGACTTGATTCCAGGTATTACTTCTCCCTAATGGCTCATGATTGGGAAACTCAACCTCTGTATTTGTATAGTTCACATTGCTAGAACTTTCTGTCCTCCTCCCACCAACCCTGGAACCAGTGACAAAGACACATGGCTTGTCATTTGTGCAGCTTGCAGAATGCCTGCTGTCTCCACCCATGTTCCCTCCACACCTTTGAAGGTGCTCAGGCAGGACCCCCTTGTCATTGGGAGGCTGGTGTCAACACACACTTAGAAGTCCAGACCTTTGTCTCTGAGACCCCCAGTGGTCTGAACCAAAGAGAACAGAAGGGAGAAGAAGAATGGACTTGTTCTACTTGGAACACCTTTCCCAACACACACACACACACACACGCACGCACGCACGCACACTCACACACCTTGCCCCAGAGTGTGACCCAGACTCTAAGTTGGTGCCCTCTTTCCTACCATGAAGGAAAGGAGTGTCGCAAGGCAAGTCCATGGCTGTGTTTTGCCATCTTGGGGAAGCCAGAGGTGCCACTGGTGAAGAAGATGACCATTGGGTCTGTGGTCTTTGACTTAATGCAGGTGTGATCTGGGGATGCTGATCTACAAAGGGATTGAACACAAAAGGAGAGAAGTCAAGTCTCCTGGCTCCACCCTCAGGGTAAGCCAAAGAAACATGAGGCTCAAAGTCAGAAACCTGACTTGTTTGCTTGTACAGATTTGAGAGAGAGGGAGAGAAGGAGGGAGGGAGGGAGAAAGACAAAGAGAGAGAAAAATATGTATTTGATGTTCCACTTACTTATGCATTCATTGGTTGATTCTTATATGTGCCCCGACCAGAGATCAAACCCACAACCTTGGCACTCTAACCAACTGAGCTACCTGGCCAGTGCAGAAAACTGGGGTTTTGCAACACTGGAGGGAAAACTGGTCTCCAGGTCTGAAGCATCAAACAGAGTTTATGGGTGATCTGGGTAAAAGCACTGACATTTCTTTATTTAAAAAATGGGAAAAACACGGCTGAGTGTTTTATAATTTAACAAACATAGAAATAGAACTTTCAGTGAGGTTTTTTTTTGGTGCTCTACCAGTAAGTGACTTACAAATAATAACTCATTCAACCTTCAGAGAAATCCTAAGATGTGACTATGCCCAACTTGTCATGTTCCTTTTGGAAATGAGGAAACTGAGGCTCAGAGAGGTTAGGTAACTTCCCTGAAGACATATAGCTAGCAATTGGCAGAGCCAGGGTTCAAACCCTGTGTGGTGTGTAGACTGTCCTCTTACTCACACTGATAAGCTTGCTTTCATACAAGCTAACTTTACAGGAATTTCACTCCATAACTTTGGTGGTAAGTGGGGGAGGGGGAAGGAGCAGAGAAAGCGAGAGAGAGGGAGAGTGAAAGAAGAAAGAATCACTGGGCCTTGATTCCTGGGAGCTGCTACACTCAGTCTCTGGGGGCTGGCCAGCGATGATTGTGCTTGTGAGCTTCCTGTGTTGATCTGATAAACTGCAGATCATTCAATGCTGGAGGGAACACTGGCACTTGCTGGGAAATGGTACAGTCCTAACTCTGAGCAATTTAAGGGATTTTTCAACAGTACTATTTTTTAAAAATATGTTTTATTGATTTCAGAAAGGAAGGGAGAAATAGAGAGAGGTAGAAATATCAATGATGAGAGAGAATCATTGATTAGCTGCTTCCTGCATGCCTCCCCACCCCCCGCACCTTAGATCTAGCCTGCAACCTGGGCACATGCCCTGACCAGGAATGGAACCTGGACCTCCTGGTTCAAGAGGGCTGGGCAACAGTGTTATTTTTTTTAAGTTTTTTATTTATTTAATTCTCTGACTTTGTTTATTCAAATTATAAAAGAAAGTTTATCTAGAAGCCACAGAGGTAGTAGAGATGAGCCAGAGGGTTGCATTGGCTAGCAAACAAGTTCAGAGAGAAGAAGGGCCCTTGGCGTTGAGGAGAGAGAGGCAAAGGTAGTGCAGGGGGAGGTGAGGGCACGCTCCCTGGAGGAAGAGCCCCAACTCTGAACCTTAGAGTCCACCACAAGGTGTGACATCACTGTGTTTGCCTTTTGGGGTTGAATAACATTTTAATTTAAAATCAGAAAGGGCCCTAAAAAGTTTGGCTCAGTGGACAGAGCATCGGCCTGTGGACTGAGGAGTCCCAGGGCAAAGGCATGTACCTTGGTTGTAGACACATCCCCAGTAGGGGGCGTGCAGGAGGCAGCTGATTGATGTTTCTCGCTCATCAACGTTTCTAACTCTGTCCCTCTCCCTTCCTCTCTGTAAAAAAAATCAATAAAAATATATTAAAAACAGAAGGGTTCCTTCAAGAAAACAAACCCAGTGTAACTTATAGGTTATAAACCAGTGTTACCTCAGAAAAATAAAAGAGACAAAGAAAAGACACCCAGCAAGGTTTGAGCTGCGGATGGAATGGGAACTCTGTGAACTAAGCTCACAGGTGATCTGATTATAAATCCCTGTCTAGGCCGGGCATGGCGGAGGCAGGCCCCTGACACAGAGCTTCTCTGGTAAAACTGTTGCCTTTGCCTTAAGCAAGCCTATGCATTGCTCTTGTGCATCTAGGTTAACACCCCCTTGAAATATTGAAAGTAATATTCTTGAAGGGGATGTGACCCCTCAAGGGAGCAGAGAATCTTAACTATCCTGTAATCCCATCCCCACCTTGCTTTCTCCCACCTTAGTCTTTCTTGCATCCTCTCCTGGATTTCAAATGCATGAGAGAAGCTACAAAACTCTTTTCCTCCGGAGCATTTGAGGCCTTGTTCCCCAGCATATGTTGTCAGTTTGGCTCAAATAAACTCATAAAAGTTTCCGGCAGGTCTGGGTGTTTCTTAGGAGGACAGTGTGAAAAACACCTAAAGGCTCACAGAACTAAAGCACTGAAGGTGGAGGGTCTCTCTGACCTGGCATTTTCCTAACTTTCTAAGGGCACCCAGACTCCGGGAGATGTTTGCCTCCCAAAACCCTCTATCAGTCATTTTTTCTTGCAGTCTCAATTTTCACCTTAAGGATCCATTTTAACCTCTCATTCAACTTATTCACATGTATGTATTTATACTTATATATGAACTAGAGGCCTGGTGCATGAAAATTCACTGGAGGGGGCTTCCTTCAGTCCAGCCTGTCCCCTCTCACAGTCTGGGAGCCCTCAGGGGCTAGAGTCAACCGGGCAATCAGGGGAAGATGATGCTTCCATCACACCTCTGCTGCTGCCACTGCCAGTAGGGCAAGCCTCAGCCAGCCCTGATTACCTGAGCCTCTATCAGCCCTGGGTGGCAAGGCAGCCATCATGTGATATTTGTGTGTACCTCAGGACGACCTTAGGCAGCTGGGCAGCCAACATCCGAGGCATGCCTGCACCTCCGAGCTCTGGTTGGCTAGGAGGCTGCCATCCCAGGCTTACTTGTGCCTTAGACCGGGGGTGGCTGGAGGCTAAGAAGTTTGGGGGTTCTGGAGGCAGCCATGCAGAGCAGCAGGACCCCCTTGGGTTTGAACCCGGCTATCCTGTGCACCTGCCTCCCTGGTGGAGCTGAAGGGACTGCACACCACCATCTTGGGGTTGTGGGTGAAACTATCTTTGAGGGCATGGCAGTCAATTAGCATACTCCCTCCTTATTGGCCATGGACGCTGCCATCTTTGAGAGGGTGTGATGGTTAATTAGCATATCACTCTTTATTACATAGGATAGTCTTTTAGATTCCCACCTATAAGAAGCTTGAAACACAGTAATCCTCTGATGGTACAACTCCTTTCACATCCCAGGGGTGATCAAACTTTAGGGAGAGAAGCATAGACGTGCAATGTCCTGATGTCACAGATGAAGCAACCTTGGCTAAGAGAGGGGAAGGAAGTAGCCCAGGGTCACACAGCAGGTCAGGGACATAGCTGGGAAGAGGTTTCTGGAGCCAGGCCTGGTGAGCTTCCTACCACCACCAGCTGTCTGTCTTGGTGTGCATGGCCTTCTCCCACCGTTCCTCAGAGAGCACCTCCATCAGACCCGAAACTCACTTAATCAGAGATCGGAAGTCCAGCCACCCCTCACGGCTGCGGTCAGACACCAGGAGCTTGGTTTTCAGAGCGGGACACTGAGAAGCCACAGAGTCCACCTCCGGGGCAAGGGCATCTGTGGTCACGATGCTCTTGGCATTGGACTCCTTCAGTCGGTAGAGAATGTCCTTGGCCTGCATCTGGGTTGTCCCTGGTATGAAGATAATGCCTGGGGATGAAAAAGAAATTTTTTGTTTCATTTTCTCTTTCAGAACCATGGGCTTCAAGCCTGACTGATCTGAATATAAATCCTTTAGCCCCTTGCTACACAAAAGCCCGCAGTGTCAGCACCAACACACCACAAACAATCCTACCCAATCAGAACCTGCATTTTTAAAATTTTTGTTTACAATAAATTTTCATTGATTTCAGAGAAGAAGGGAGAGGGAGAGAGAGATAGAAACATCAGTGATGAGAGTCATTGATTGGCTGTCTCCTGCACACCCCACGCTGGAGATATAATCTGCACCCGGGCTTGTGCTCTAACTGCAAATTTTTGCTTTTATGCTTTAAATATTTATGCTTTTTTTTTTTTTAATACATTTTTTTTTAAGAACTGGTTTGTTCATCTTGGGCTGATGCTATCGTTACCAAGTTCTTGTTTTTGTTGTTGTTGTTGTTGTTTTTAACATATTTTATTGATATTTTACAGAGAGGAAGGGAGAGGAATAGAGAGTTAGAAACGTTGATGAGAGAGAATCATCAACCAGCTGCCTCCTGCACACCCCCTACCGGGGATGTGCCCACAGCCAATGTATCGATACATGCCCTTGACTGGAATCAAACCTGGGACCTTTCAGTTTGCAGACCAATGCTCTATCTACTGAGCCAAACCGGTTTCGGCTAAATATTTATGCTTTAAACCATGACCTCCTGGTTCATAGGTCAATGTGCAACCACTGAGCCAAGGCAGCAGGGCCAAAACCTGCTAAAATGCAGGACCTCCAAATAATTCCCACACACATTATAATTTGAAACACTTGCCCTAAACCTTTCTACTCTAAATGGGTGCAGCCAGTAGACAGGTGGATCCTACTTTGCAAGAGTCTACATAGGACCTGGGAGCACGGATGCAAGGAGGACAGAGTCTCTAACATCAGGAATAGCTACATTCCAGCCCCCAGTTTTCTCCTCCACCCCCTTCTCTCATCTCTGTGTCATTGGGAATCCCTTCTTTCCTTCATCCCTCATGTCCAAATTAACCACTTTGTCCTTTGAACTCCCCTACATTCCCTCCTTTCAACTGCTGTCATCAATAATTAGTTCAAGTATTTGTGTGCACCTATATGATTCTAATCTCCTCACCAGATAGATACCTTGCCCTGGAACTTTCATATTATAATCAGTGTAAGTTCCACAAAGCATTGATTTTCTCCCCACATTTACTGTTGTTAGGACTAGAATGCAATAAAATCCTTGACAGCGATTTGTAATCATCCCACCAAAGGAGAACAAAGACAAGGAAATGCTGGCTGGACACCAGGAATCAGACCATGTAAGGAAGTGAAACTGTCCTGAAGACACCGAGTGGCACACCTTCATTCCATCCCCATTCAGGCCCACCAGCTCAGCCCCAAACCCACTGACGACAAGAGAGTCCCACTGTGACAGCATATAAGAATGAAACTCCTGCTCCTGGGCACACCATCATCCCCTTGGCTCAGAGCTGTGCAACCCTTCCCTTTGGGTATCCTACCTTTGATCCCGTTTCTCTTAAATAAACTCAATTTTCTTTAATCACTTCTGAGATGGCCATTTAGCCTGCCTGCCCACCAAGTTCACCTTCAATTCTCTTCACTGACACCTGTGTCTTCCCTCCAGGAAAACACCACTCTCCCTATTCTGACATTGAAGACACTGCCCATGCTCCACCTTTCTCCCTCTACTCTCTATTTCAAAATGGCCATTCACATAAGCAACTCTTGACTCTAAGACTTTGCATGTATGTGCTCAGTCCATTCTTGGAATTCCCTTTCTCTGTTTCTAATCCTCTTTATTTATGCTTTTCCTAAAGGGCTCAGCTCATGTCTTGGGGTTCTCATGGGTCATCTCTCTTTTCTTTTTTTAAATATATTTTATTGATTTTTTACAGAGGAGGAGAGAGGGATAGAGAGCTAGAAACATCGATAAGAGAGAAACATCGACCAGCTGTCTCCTGCACACCCCCTACCAGGAATGTGCCCACAATCAATGTACATGCCCTTGACCAGAATCAAACCTGGGACCCTTCAGTCCACAGACCGACCGATGCTCTATCCACTGAGCCAAACCGGTTTCGGTTCATGAGTCATCTCTTAGTTCTACAAGTCACATGGCTTCTTTATGCTCCCTCTGCTGTTGCTAATAACATTTGATTCCAAAGGAACGAGATGGATTAATCCACTATTTTATGAGAGGAAAAAAGAGATAGAATATATAAACAAGAACATGAACAGACTGTTGTGTGAACATGTGATTCAACTGAAGTGATTAAAAAAATCCACGAGTTCCCATACTGATTCTAAATTAGATAGATAGGTAGATAGATAGATAGATAGATAGATAGATAGAGGATAGATAGATAGATAGATAGATAGATAGATAGATAATAGGTAGATAAGTAATTGAAATGGAAAGGAAAGTCTCTATATAAGAATGCTAATTAATGATAGTATAAGGATTGATATAAAAAGAATACCCTCATGTAAATCACCATAATAATATTCGACTCAGTCAAGAATCAACAGTGGACACTCAAACCACTGGGGTGAGTGGGGTGAAAGTCAGTAGGGGAGCAGGATAGTCACTAGTCTTATAAGTGTTATTCTTACTGGTCAGGAAGAGAAAAGGTGTCTTGACACAGTTGACTACCACCCTTCTAACGAGATAATCAGTATCACTGTTGGAAGACAAAACAACTATATAGACCCCTCATGTGGTGCACTGACAAAGACACAACACTGTCCTCCCAGCACTCCTGCTAAGATGTTTTAAGATGAATATAATCATGAAGCAAGAGACAGAAATACACATTTGGGTGTAATGCCTGCAAAGCAACTGGCTTAGACACTTCAAAATATCATTGCCAGCCGAGGCCGGTTTGGTTCAGTGGATAGAGCATCGACCTGCGGACTGAAGGGTCCCGGGTTCGATTCCGGTCAGGGGCACATACCTTGGTTGTGGGCACATCACCAGTGGAGTGTGTGCAGGAGGCAGCTGATTGATGTTTCTCTCTCATCGATGTTTCTAGCTTTCTATCTCTCCCTTCCTCTCTGTAAAAAAAAAAAATCAATAAAAATTAAAAAAATATATATCATTGCCATGTGGAAAAGGCTAGAGAACCATTCTAGGTTACAGGAGACGGAGAAGACATGACAACTAAATGCAATGCATGATCTTCAATTGGATTTTGGACTTTAAGAAAGAACAGGCTGTCAAGGACATTATTAAGGTAATTGACTATGGATAGCTATCAGGCAACATATATTGTACCAATGTCAGACTTCTTGTTTGAAGACATCTGCTGTGGTGATGTGAAGGAAATGTCTGGGATCCAGGGTTTATGGGTATTTACATGGTATTTATGGGTGTCACAATGCCTGCAACTGATTCTTTACTAAATCAGTGGGGAGCTGCAATATGGCAAAAGGTTAACAGTTGATGAATTTCAAAAAAAGCAATAATGTCTGAGACTGTGCAAGAGAAAGTATGTGGCATCAAGACAGTCTGTTCAATAAATGGTATTTATAAAATTGGACAGGCCTGTTTTGTATTTTTTACATGCAAAAAAATGAAACTAGGCCACCAAATTCCACCATATACAAAAATAAACACAAAATGGATAAAGAACTTAAATATAATATGAGAAACCAAAAAATCTTAGAAAAATCCATAGACAGCAAAATATCATACATATGAGGTAGCAATATCTTTACCAATACAACTCCTAAGGCAATGGACACTAAGGAGAAAATAAACAAATGGGACTACATCAAAATAAAAAGCTTCTGCACAGCAAAAGGAACCATCAACAAAACAACAAGAAATCCCAGTGCTTGGGAGAATGTATTTGTCAATGTTATATTCGATAAGGGTTTAATCTCAAAAATTTAGAGGGAACTCATACAATTTAACAAAACAAAGATAAACAATCGAATCAAAAAATGGGCAAACACTAAATAAACACTTTTCAAAAGAGGACATACAGAAAGCCAAGAGACATATGAAAACATGCTCAAAGTCATTAATCATCCAAGAATACAAATCAAAATGACAATGAAATACCATCTCACAACTGTCAGAATGGCTATTATCAACAAATCAACAAACGACTGCTATCTAGGATGCAGAGAAAAATGAACCCATCTTCTATACTAGTATGAATGCAGACTGATGGAAAACAGTATGGAATTTCCTTAAAAAATTAGAAGTGGAGCTTCCATTTGATCTAGTAATCCCACTTCTAAGAATATATCCCAAGAAATCAGAAATACCCATCAGAAAGGATATATGTACCCCTGTATAGCAGCACAATTTACAATAGCTAAGATTTGGAAACAGTTTAAGTGCCCATCACCAGTTGAGTGGATTAAAAAATGGTGACACATCTACACAACGGAATGCTATGCTGCCATAAAAAAGAAGGAACTCTTAATAATTGCAACAGCATGGATGGACCCAGACAGCATTTTGCTAAGTGAAATAAGTCAGAGAAAGATAAATATCACATGATCTTACTCATTTAAGGAATTAATGAACAACATAAGCTGATGAACAAAAACAGATCTAGAGACAGAGAAGCATCCATCAGACTGTCAATCCTCAGAGGGAAGTTAGGGGAGGGTATGGGTAAGAAGGAGAAATAAACCAAAGGACTTGTATGAATGCATATAAGCATAACCAATGGACATAGACACCAGGGCAGTGAAGGCATGAGCTGGGGCTTGTGGGGAAGGGGGGTAAGAAGATAAGAACACATACGTAATACTACTTTAATCAATAATTTAAAAAGGGAAAGTGTGTGTGTGTGAGAGAGAGAGAGAGAAGAAGAAGAAGAAGAAGAAGAAGAAGAAGAAGAAGAAGAAGAAGAAGAAGAAGAAGAAGAACAAGAAGAAGAACAAGAAGAAGAACAAGAACAAGAAGAAGAAAAGTTATAGGGAAAGAGAAAGCAGCTGCTGTTCCTGGACCAGTTGGCTCTGGGACATCCCTAAGGTCTCTAAGGGTCTCTGAGTCACTGACATGTTCGCATGCAGCCCATGGTCACCAGCCACCACTCAGGCACTCGAGGCAGAATCAAGGCGAGACGGTCTCCCTGCTGCAGGCCACAGGCCTGTGTGAAGACGTTGGCTGCGCGGCAGGTGAAGTCTGTCAGCTCTCTGAAACTCCACTTCACTTCATCTCCTTGGCTGTTCACCCACCACAGGGCTGGGTTGGGGCCTCTTTTGCCTTCCTGGTCAAGATCATACACCATGTGTTATTTCCTGCTTCAGAGGAAAAAGGCAGTTATTTCCCCAACCCATAGTCATAGGCACGTTCCAGTGTGAGCACAGCTCAGGAACTAAGACCCCATTTTAAATCATTTAAAGAGTCAAGGAAAGTTTGGGTGTGCTGTGATCCAGCCAACTTCTTCTGGTCTACTATAGCCACCTCCTCCCAAGTCACATAAGACCATGAATAGCTTCATGTTTCCAACTGAAAACTTAAAGCTCCATCCCCACATGTCTTAGTTCCATGCAGACCATGCAATCCTCTTTGTCCCCCAGCATTCTCATCTACGAAGTGGGGACAATAATATTACGAAGATGGTGGCATAGGTGAACACCTGGACTTGCTGCGGCACTCAACTACATCAAAACTACAACTAAAAGACAAAAGGAATATCATCTAGAACCACAGAAAGGCTGGCTGAGTGGAAATTCTATAACTAGAAGGAAAGAGAAAAGTGTATTGAGTCCGGTAGGACGTACAGAGGTGTGGAAATGTGGAGGTATAGAGCCCTGCATAAAAGGAGTTGGTGATTGCTTAAGTGTTGTCATATTCAATTAGGAGGGAGATACATGCTCCCCACTACTCTGAACTCCAGTTATGGGTGAGACTCTGGGGACTCATACAGAGAGAAACTGGACTGTCTGGCATCAGGCTGGAACTCGAGGGCGGCTTTCTCTCAGAGGTGCTTCTAAAGGTCCTTCATGGTGCCACAGGACACAGAAACACAGGAGCCTCTTCAGGCATGGCTGATAGGCAGCCATTGCTGTTTGCTTCCCCTGGTGATTCCCTGAGACCCTGCCCCACCCAATTTACAACCTCATCCAAGCTGTGCCCAGAGGCTTTTGCATATGAATGGCAATCTAAAACCTAACAAACTGCAGCTGGGTCAGAGAGCTCCAGAGTTTCCAAAAGAAGATCCAAGGCTCCATAGCAGCTTACATTGCTTCACACCTGGGCCTCATCTGTCACCTCCAAGCCCCAAAGAGGAAGAATCTGCAGATCTCTCTGTAGCTCCTGCTGGGTGGCCTCAGGCAGTTGCTGACTTTGCCACTGTATCCAGTATACCCAGTGGTCAGAGTGAGCCCATCCAGATTACAACACTTCACATCCAAAAGAGACACAGTCAGGGGCTAGACTGGGTGAGCGCCAAAGCCCCACTGAAATAAGTCATGGTGTATCCAGCACTGAAGTTCTCCCATTATAGACACAACTGGTTCTTACAGCCAACTGGCCTGGAGGTCAATTCTTCCCAATGATACCAACAACAATCAAGATTACAACAAGACAGTGCACACAGCCCACAAAGCAGTGCACCAAGCTTGCCCACCTCAAGTAATTGGGGAGGCTGAGCCACTGGGCCCTATAGAACACCTAGCACACAAAGCCACTCTATCAACACAGGAAAGCAGCCAAACTGCAGAAACAAAGAGGTCACAAATGAAAAAAATGAAGGAAAGCAAACTACTGGGTATATAGTTCAAAATCATGGTTATAAGGTTAATCAAGAATCTTCTATAAACCTACAAGAAATTTAGTGAGACCCCCCCCAAGGATATGAAAAAGGACCAACTAGAAATTAATCATACACGGCTGAAATAAAGAATAACATACAGAGATCCAACAGCAGATTAGAGGATCCCAAGAATCAAGTCAAAGACTTAAAATACGAAGAAGCAAAAAACACCCAACTGAAAAAGAAAAATGATCCAAAAATATAAAGGTAGTGTAAGGAGCCTCTGGTGTGGAGCTTTCAAGTGTACCAACATCAGAATTATGGGGGTGCCAGAAGAAGAGAGAGAGCAGGATGTTGAAAACTTATTTGAAGAAAATGACAGAAAACTAACTCCACCTGGTGAAAGAAATAGACTTGCAAGTTCAGGAAGCACAGAGAACCCCAAACAAAAGGAATCCAAAGAGGAACACACCAAGACACATCATAATTAAAATGCCAAGGGCAAAAGACAAAGAGAGAATCTTGAAAGCAGCAAGAGAAAAACAGTTAGTTACCTACAAGTGAGTACCTATAGTACTGTCAGCTGATTTCTTAACAGAAACTATGCAGGCCAGAAGGGAGTGGCAAGAACTATTCAAAGTGATGAATAGCAAGAACCTACAACCAACATTACTCCACCTAACAAAGCTATTGTTTAGAATTGAAGGTCAGATAAATTGCTTCACAGATTTTAAAAAAAACCTAAAGGAGTTCATCACCACCAAACCAGTATTATATGAAATGCTGAAAGGTATTCTTTAATAAGAGGAAGATAAAGAAAAAGGTAAAGATAAAAATTATTAACAAAAACATTACACTGAGTAAAAGAAACAAGACATAAAAGGATGCAAGAGCAGGTCAATTGTTGCCTGGGGCTAAGGGTGGGGGTGGGAGGGGATTGGCTGAGAAAGGGCAAAAGAAAGATTTTTGGGGTGATAGGAATAGTGTAGACCTCAGTTTCAGGTGTACAACCTAATGATTAGACATTTATTTAACTTATGAATATAACATTGTATGTCAATTGTAATTGGAAATTTTTAATAATTATTGAAAAAATAAAGCTCTGGCCGGTTTGGCTCAGCGATTAGAGCATTGGCTCTCAGACCAAAGGGTGGCAAGTTCAATTCCCAGACAAGGGCATGTACCTTGGATGCAGGTTTTACCTGGCCCTGTCAGGGTACCTGCAGTAGGCCACCAACGAAAATGTCTCTCTCAAATCCATGTTCTCGTTCTCTCCCCCATCCATCCACCTCTTCCACCTTTCCCCTTTCTTTAAAAAAATCAAATTAATTCTTGGATAAGGATTAAGAAATAAATGAATAAATAAAGGCATCCAAGTCACAATAAAATGAACAAAACTCCCACATGTGTGAGTTTATTGCTTGTAGAAAAGGCTAGCTTCAGTATTTAAAAACTTTTTATTTATTGATTGGTTTAGAAAGAGGGGGAGAGAGAGAGGGAGAGAGAGAGAGAGAAAGAAAGAGAAAGAGAGAAAGAGAGAGAGAGAGGTCAACTTTGGTGTTTTCCTTATTTATGCATTCATTGGTTGATTCTTGTATGTGACCTGATCAGGGATCAAATCCAAAACCTTGGCAGTCCAGGACAACAATCTCACCAACTGACTTACCTAGCCAGTGCCATGAAGCACTTCCTTTTGTTTTATAATGAATTCTTTGCCAACACACACACACACACACACACACACACACACACACACACACACTCAGAAGAGAACACATTGCTCAGCCCTTGTAGCTCAGTGGTTGAGTGTCATCCTATGAACCAGGAGGTCACGGTTCAATTTCCATTCAGGACACATATCCAGGTTGTTGTCTGGGGTGTGAAGGAAGCAGACAATCAATGATTCTCCCTCATTATTGATGGTCCTATCTCTCTCTACCTCACCCTTCCTCTCTGAAATCAATAAAACATTCTATATAATATGAGCACAGTATGCAAGTTGTCCTCTCAACTGGGAGTTCCTCAAAGAGTTCAACCAGGAGGTGGGGCCAACCTGGGCACGGGAGGGAGGCCCCGACCGGCGGCAGCGGCAGCCACTAGAACCCTAGCAGTGCATGAATTAGCCTCTACTATTTAAAATAAAAAAAGGGGGGCACATAAAAATTTTGGATTTCTAACTTAAGGGAAGTTTGTTTAAAAGGGAGGTTCAGGAAGTAAAGTGGACCCCAGTGGCATGCCCTCTGCACAGTCTTTAATAGGAGCAGTACCAAGATCTACAGATTGTTAGGCAGGTTTCAAAATTAATTTACTTCACAAATGTTTGTTGAGACACTTCTTTGTGTCAGACACCCTGCATCACTAGAGACACTGATCATGGTTAAGGCAATTGGAAAAGTGAAACAGACAGGTCAGAATTATTATGAGAATGAAAATGTATGGAATGAGGTGTGCGTGTGAAAATTGGGAGATATGGATGACTTGACAGTGACTGATAACAATGATGTAAAACCCAACAAGAACAGTATTTAATAAGATGGAGAATCTTATTTATTTGGTGGTTATCTCCCTGGGTGGATGTGTGAACTAATGAATAAGAATTTTATGAAGATAAATGCAATAAAAAATGATTGCTCATTCTCTCCTCTCTACCTCCTCCCTCTCCAGGCCATCTCACGGTCTCAAAGGTCTTCATCAAATCAAGAGATGTTTTGGCATCATCCAATCATGGGAACAGGTTAATAAATGGATTTTAGAATTAGAAAGCCTAGACCCAAATTCTGCTCCTCTACTTAGGTAACTAATTTTTGTAGGTTATTTAAAACTCTTGCAACCTCAGTTTTCTCATCTAGGAAATGGAGATCATAAAACTGTCTATCTAATTTGAACATTAAAAGCAAAGTGCTTGACATAGCGTATAAAAAATGTTCTTCATAACCAAGGCTCTATTTTCCTGGGAGTTATTATGAAAATTCAGAGACAGGAAAAAGAAAGGAGGAAGAAGCCCCATGAAAGGCATATAGGCCTTGAACACTAGCATGTGAATGCATATGTTAAATTCATTGGAAACTTAAAAATTCCATCAACTCTCTGGCTGCATTGCTGATGAATTCTCTCTTTCTACAAAGATAATGTTGGGTAACTTTTCACACTGTGATCATCATCAGCTGGGACTTAGTAGTTGGAACACCACCCATTGTCCACCCCACCCCCTGGGGTACACATCACTGCTCTCCTTTCCGTTTCAAGCACTTGCTGTTTTCTGAAGAGATCTGTAAATTCTAGAGGCTGAGGAACTGGCTTCTCTGGACAGACCCCAATCTAAACCCCCGTCATCTTTGGTAGCCAGTCCTGCAGCTGGCCTTCCTCTCCTCACAGGAGGACTCCTGACTGAACTCTACCTGTCAGGTGTGCAGGTGCAGGTGTCCCTTCCCTCTGTGCAGCCTGAAGTTGGGCCCAAGTTTGATGAGATGAATTCCAGTGAGGCTCACCCTTAGTGGAAGGTCAGAATTCAGATGAACATCAAGTTGCTGACCTTGTAGTTAGAACTTTGCATTTGGTCCCAATTATCTGACTGTACCAAATGCTTTTACCTGCTGTCATGTTTCATAAGGGAGATTGTCCCCATTTCACAGATAAAACCAATGAGGCTCAGAGAAGTGCAGAAGTGGCCAGGGTGAGACTTGAGAATTGAACCCTAAAACATAAGCTTTCCCCATGACACTGGTAAGTTAAGGCAGACACTGTATTGGGTCTGTGCCCTCAGCCTCCGAGGAACAAGATAAGCCAGAGTGATCATGCCTATCCCCACCCCCCATCACAGGTACCTCCTCACCTTCTCCATTTGAGTCCAGTAGTCCACGACATCACTTGCAAAGTTAAATTTCTCAGGTGTGTCATGGTCATTCCATCGCGGGGCGCCAGTTGCTGATACAGACTGGGAGCGCAAGTGCCAAGGGGCAGGCTGGAAGGCGCGGCAGGATTTGTGGGTGCCCCAAAGGACCCGGAGCCTCATCAGCCACTGCATGGCGGAGCAGTCCTCAGGAAGCAGGCACGCACTTCTCAGTCACCACCTGCTTCGGGAAGAGATGGCTGCTAGGTCAGCAGTGGAACAGGGCTTTCCTCCACAAGACGAGGCACGTTTCTGGTTCATGGCTGGAGTTTGGTTTCAGCTGACCAGTATTTGGAGGCACAACTTAGTGCCTTAAGATTTAGGATTTCTCTTCCCAGCTCAGGAACCTCAGGCAAAGAGGGATCAGAGCTGCTAGATGGGGTTGGTACACCTTCCTGAGGGTCTTCTCCTTTTCTCTCTCACTCCCTGGGAGTTAAGCTCAGGTTGGCAGCCATGGGACCAGCCCCTTTGTGGGAAACTCACCATTTGAAAGTCCTGTTCTCCATGCCAGGCCGGCTCTAACACCTCTCTGCCTGCCGAGCCCAATAGTGCAGTTCTCATGGGAGCTGTTATATTCTTAGATGATCCCAGCTGCTGTCCAAAGTTCATTGGTCCAGGGTTGAGCAAACATTCCTTACGATTTTTTAATCCAGGCTGAGCTGCCCACAATCCCTTTCTCAAATGTGTGTGTGTGTGTGTGTGTGTGTGTGTGTGTGTGTGTCTGCGTTTGTGCTTGTTACCAAAGTGGGTAAAGGCACTTTTTCTAACACTGTAACCACTGAGCACACCAGCGAAGGCTGAAGGAAGACTCTTTAAAGAGGTAATTAACTTAAAATGAGTCACTAGGTAGACCCTAATCGGATATAACTGTTCTTATAAGAAGAGATCAGGACACGGACACAGAAGGAGAATGCCGTGTGAACATGAAGACGGACAACTTCAAGCCCAAAGCTAAGCCCAAGAAGAGACCCCCCTGCTGACACATTGATCTCAGACTTCTTGCCTCCTGAGCTGTGAGAAGTGAATTCCTGAGGTTTAAGCCCCCTAGGCTGTGGCTCTTTGTAACAGCAGACCTAGCTATCCAATACCTCTCTCTTAATCAAACAACAAATAAATGACTTTGGCACTATCATCTGTAAATGTGTTTGAAATTCTGATTTAATCTTCATCATGTGAGAGAGCTAAGTGCCACAGCACCCAGCTGGGAGGACTGTGGGAGCTGAGAGCGTGTCCTTAGGAGCAAAGCGGCACATGTTCAAATGCCAGCCCCTCACTCCTCCCTACACAGCTTTGGGCAATTTTTTTAACCTCCCTCTAAAACATGGAAATATTAGCAACACCTGGAGTAGTGAATGGATGACATCCTGTGTAAAGCATGTGAACACAGACTCAGCTCAGATGAATAATCCAGGTCTGGGGGTTTCTGCTAACAAACACTCTCTCTGGGGAAACTCATTGAACAATCAGGCTTCAAAAACCTGGCTGCCTGAGCTTTGGAACTAGGGTCTAATGAGAAGGAACAGGGATAAGATGCTGAGCAGACACCACAGCGTCCAGCTTCTGCATTGATACATTAAGAAGGCTAAACATGGGGATATGTATACTTACATGTCCATGTCTATCTTCATGTATATCTGTCTTTATAACTGTCAATATCTATATCTATAATGATGCCAAATCTGCTGTCACTGTCTGTAGCTTTATCATATCTATACCTATATCGACATCGATAGCTGTATGTATATCTAATCCATGTTGATATTGATATATCTCACCATGAATTACTTTTTAAAAAATATTTTATTGATTTTGTACAGAGAGGAAGGGAGAGAGATAGTTAGAAACATCGATGTGGGAGAGTCATCGATCAGCTGCCTCTTGCACACCCGCTACTGGGAATATGCCCGCAACCAAGGTACATGCCCTTGACCGGCATCACACCCGGGACCTTTCAGTCCCCAAGCTGACGCTCTGTCCATTGAGCCAAACCGGCCTCGGCTCACTATGAATTACTATAGTGATATTTATTGCTACATTTGTATCTGTGAGTGGGTTCGTGACTAGACTAAGGATAATTTTTAATGTTTAAGGATAATTTGTTTAAGGATAATTAAATAATGTTTAAGGATAATTTAATGTTTAAGGATAATTTGCTACATGGATGTGCAAAGGCAATGGGAGCAGTTGTGCTGTACGCACTGCGCAGGTGCGCCATTATCCTCTGTAACTAATGTCACTGTTTGGCAAGAGGCCTCTTTTGTCTGAGTTGGTATGAGAATGTATCGCTGACCAGCCAGTGTGCGGCCGCTTTGTGGGACTACTTTGTTGGTTTGTTTTATTTTTGTTTTGTTTTGTTTGGATTTTTTTTTCACTGTGCACTTTATTTTTTTAAATAAATCTTTATTGTTCATATTATTACAAATGTTCCTCTTTTCTCCCCACTCCATTGCTCCCCTCCACCAGGTTCCCACCCAACCCTCTGCCCTTTCCCCACCCCCCATTGTCCTCATCCATAGGTGCACAGTTTATGTTCAGTCTCTTCCCACACTCCCCTCGCCCCTTTTCCTGAGAATCGTCAGTTCACTCCCCTTCCATACCTCTGATTCTATTATATTCAACAGTTAATATTGTTCATCAGATTTTTTTAAATTTCCTTGATTTTTAGATTTACTTGTTGATAGTTACGTATTTGTTGTTCATAGTTTTTAATCTTTATTTTCTCTTCTGAAAGAACCCCCTTCAGCAATTCATATAATTCTGGTTTGACGGTGATGAACTCCTTTAGCTTTTTTATATTTGTGAAGCTCTTTATCTGGCCCTCGATTCTGAGTGATAGTTTTGCTGGGTAGATTATTTTTGGCTGTAGGTTCTTGCTATTCATCACCTTGAATATTTCTTGCCATTCCCATCTGGCCTGCATGGTTTCTGTTGAGAAATCTGCTGACAATCATATGGATGCCCCTTTATAGGTAACTATCTGCTTTGCTCTTGCTGCTTTTAATATTCTCTCTTTGACTTTTGCTCTTGGAATTTTAATTATGATTTGTCTTGGTGTGGTCTTTTTTGGATTCCTTTTGTTTAGAGTTCTGTGCACTTCCTGGACTTGTAAGTCTAATTCTTTCACCAGGTGGGGGAAGTTTTCTGTCACTATTTCTTTCAGTATGTTTTCGATATCTTGCTCTCTCTCATCTCCTGGAACCCCCATAATTCTGATGTTGGTTTGCTTGAAGTTGTCCCAGAGGTTTCTTACATTATTTTCAATTTTCTAGATTCTATTGTCTTCTTGCTTCTGGGGAGGAATGTCTTCTGGCTCTTTATGTTCTAAATCTTTGACTTTATTCTTGCGATCTTCCATTCTGTTTTAGGACTCTGTATAATATTTTTTATTTCAGACAATGTATTCTTTACTTCTTGTTGATCCCTTATTATTTCTTGTTGATCCCTCATTATTTCTTATTGATATCTTATTATTTCTAGTTGATCCCTTTTCATATACTCATAGGTCTTATCGACCTTTTCTAGAAAATTCTTGAAAAGCCTTATAAGCGTGGTTTTGAATTCTATATCCAGTCGCTTTTTATCCTCCATTTCTTTCGTTTGTGATCTATTTTCTTGTCGCGGCATTTTTGCAGCTTCCCTGAGTTGGTAGCCTTAAAAGTCTCTGTGTTCAGCTTGGATGGGGCGGAGTTTCAGGGTCGAGCCTACAGCTTTGGCTTCCATCAGCCATGCCCTATGCCACTCCTGAGTCTCAGTGTTCCTCAGGGTCCTTTGGTGCTCGCTGCAAGCACCTCTGAGAGTGAGGTGCCCTCGAGTTTCACCTGCTACCAAACAGTCTAGGCTCTCCCCCATGAGCCCAGAACTGGGGTTCAGAGCAATCTGGAGCTTTTGTCTCCTTCCCACTAGGGTAATCCCATGGCACAGCCAACCGTCCGTTCTCTGCACGTAATGTGCACACCTCTGGACCTCCTTTCGCCACTCCCCCGGGTTTCCGCCTTACAGCCCAGGCTCCCTCTGGATGAACCTGGGTCCCCAGGGTCTGGCCTAGAACTGGGGTTCAGAGCAGTCGAAACTGGGGCTCAGCACAGTCCGGAGCTTTTGTCTCCTTCCCGCTAAGGCAATCTAGCAGCAGAGTCAACAGTCAGTCCTCTGTGCACAATGTGCGCGCCTCCGGGGCTCTGCCTTTGGTTGCTCCCCTGGGATTCCGCCTCACAGCCCAGGCTCCCTCTGTATGAGCCTGGGTCCCCAGGATCTAGCCCAGAACTGGGGTTCAGTGCTGTCGGATCTGGGGTTCAGCACAGTCTGTAACTTTTATCTCCTTCCCACTAGGGACTGCTTTGAAGAACTGCTTTGTCTGATAGCTCCTGTGTTCGCAATGGCTACTTAGTCTGCAATAAAGTCTCCTATATGCCTGCGGATGCTCATGTCTTCTGATTCCCTTGTGCACAGAGATCCAGCCCTCAGCAGAGCAGCTGTGACCAGACACTGTGTCTATAACTATGTACTGTATTTTTCTCTGTATAAGACACTATTTTTTTCTAAAATCATTAGACTGAAAATTGAGGGGCGTCTCATACATGGAAGTCAGCCACGGAGAGAGCTGCTGCCCATGCCTCGTCAAACAGGCTTTCTCCAATCACGAGCCTGGTTGTTACTGACGTCACATGATGCCGTAATTGGAGGTGGAGGTAGAGAGTGTGCAGATACAATCAGGACCACAGCGTTCTGAGCCCATAAAGATGTAAAAAAATAAAAAGATAAATACGGAAAGAGACTGTATTCTGCAAAATTCAAATAGAGTGTAATCAGCCATGCAAAAGCGCATGAAAATAGAGTAGAAGAGAGACAGTTTGGACCTCCTCCCACTGAGTATGATCAGACAGGGGAGAAACAGGAAGAACAACTCCTTAAGATGCCAAAAAAGGAGAAGGCCTTAAGAGGAAAGCCAGCAAAATGGGCAAACTTGGAGCAGAGGCAACTGACAACAAATAATCACTTTGAATCACGCTTTGACCATAAAACGACCAGAATGTTCCAGAAGATACAGCAAAGTAATTTTGCTTCATGATGATATACTATCACACACTTTAAAACCAGTTAGAGACACCTTAAAAGATCTTGCCTGGGAGGTTTTAACT